TGTCATGAAGTGAAATCAACATGGAAGAAAATCATTAAGTGCTCAGATCGGGGCTCTTAATTGCTCTCTACAAGTCAGCAAATCCAGAAATAAAACACACCATAAATCTTAATCAAAATATAAAGAATTTACAACCAATAACAAATTAGAAATTAAAAAAACAGTGCGTCCACATCTGCTGCTCCTTTAGCAGCCCTGCACAGCAGTCAGCTAATAGCTGTGCTCCCCCCCTTTCTTTGATAAGTATTTTAAAAACAAACATCTTAAAAAAATACTTCTCATAAAACTCCTCTGGAGCAGCCTGGCACAGTTTCAAGCTATCGGAGTGGCTCTGCTGGTGCTGAAGTTTGAGAAGCGCAGCTCTGCACCTAGACCAGCCACCTCCCCGTGCTTTCTCCTTCCCCGAAATGGCAGGCGGCAGGAGAAAGGCCGGCGGCAGGAAATAGCGTGAGAATGGGCTCCCTCGTGCTACTTCCAGCCCTTCCTGATATCGGAGGGTGTGAAACGGGTTGCAAAGACTGTCTCTCACATTATTTCCTTTTCCACCCCAGCCAAAACCAGGAAGCGCCAGCTAGGAGATACGCAGAGAAAGCATAGCGTAAAATGAAGCACAAAATCAAACTGGTGGCCAAGGAGCCTAACTAAGCCAAAGCTAACTAAAGGAAAAATTCAAGTATCTGTGAGCACAGCCTAATATTAGCAAGTCCAGAAAAAGCACCAGGAGGCTGCTTTACCCAGGCTTTGCTTTTGGTTTGCCACATAGCTAATCCAACGGCTATGACATCAAAGCAATTTTCTTCAGGGCATCCACAGACTTTGGCTCAGACCTTTCAGGACAGTGTTTAGCATCCCGCATGCCCTCATGCCCCAAACAGCACGCTTGTATGGGAGAGAGCCTACTTACTCAGACTACTCTGCTGTGTATTTGTGAGGCTTCGAGAACAGAGGTCCTCAAATGAAAACTGAAGTACAAGTATTAACAACAACAGCACTGCAAAGAGATCACGTTTGTTCATATTCGACAGAAGGCATATATTTGATAAACAGGTCTTGGCACATTACAGTGGAAATGGCTCCTATATTCTTAATATTAAGTAATATATTCCGAATAAAATGCAATCCTGTGCCTTCAGGGAAGAAATATGAAGGATGGTAAATCATTTATTTATCACCATTTGGGGTTTTCTATATTCTAGACACTCCTGCATTCTTCTGTTTATTATTAGCCAAGAGCAGTATCACATGGCAGCTTCCGTACAAACATTCGTTCTCTTCTGTATACATCCCCATCAGATGCAAGAGCAATGAAATTTGGTCTCCTCTTAGGTAATGCCACCTCCTCACAGCTAAAATATATTCCTTTTGGATAGAAACTGGTGAAAACCTTGCAGACCATGTTGTTCTAAAAGCAGAATTGAAATTACCTACTTAGTAAGTCCAGTTAAGAAAAGGGAAAAAACCTCTTTTCCTTTCCCTGCCTCTCAAGACTGCAAAATATGCCTGGGCAGGAAGTACAGTAAAGCTCATGATGAGCAGAGGCAGCTACTCTTTCAAAATGAACACGGTTCCTCCGAAGTGACATTTTCGTTTAGCCAGCGAGCGTGAGGATAAAGGGCAGGACAGCAGAAGGCCTCTCGAGCAGATGAAGTCACTGGCCGGGCCTTCCAGCTTCACACCTCCAAAGATCACAACTGCAGTTAAATGGAAAGCCAGGATGGTACCTGTGGCTTTTGTTGAAGTCATCTCTTCTGAGCCAATGCAATGAGGAACTTGGTGGAGCAATGATAAAACCATGTGTCAACATTAACTTCTTACGGGGAGACACTGAAAAATTGTAGCCAGTCAGCAGAAAGTATTGTCCTTTAAGCTACTGCTCAGGAGCAGGTGAAAAAACCCATTGCCAGACTCTCTAAGGTAGACACAACACATTAGATTGAGAATTGCATTCGTTCCCACTTTCCTGGGAAAGGACAAGCAGCAAAGAGTGTCTTTCCCCTTTGCTCATCTAAGAGAGCTAGTTCCCTTCTTTCCTCAGCACGAACTCTGCAACGATTTAAACCTCCATCTCCCCACTACCTTTCCTCCCAAGATGCTCCAGCATCCTGCAGCTATGCCATACTGTCCTTAGCACTGAAAGGACCTTCTGTTGGCCTACAGCTAAGCTGCTTACACGGAGAACCAGTTTTTATCCATGAAAAGCAGAACTGTAAAGGCAGCAATGTTGAACGGAAGGGAAGTAGGTAAGTCCTCATGGCCGTCCCAGTAGCTCACCGCCACCATCACCCCATTAACAAAAGGTGGAAATGAGAGGAGGGAAAGGACTCCTGCCAGTCCGCAGAAGCTCTGCACACATTTCATGCAGGTTTGGAAGAAGCAGAAATGAATTTCATTTTGATACTAACATTTCTGAAAGTGAAACAAAGCCCTGTAAGATATACACTCCTCACTGTTCCCTGCTAAAAGACAGACAAAATTGATTTTAAAACATTCAGCAGAAACTCCTTGCAAAGCTTCCTATATATATAACCATGTCACTTCCAAGAGTGAAAAAACTGTTTTTTAAAAATGCAGAATGTTAAATGAGCCCATACCAAGACAAACTTTACACTAAGGAATTCACACTTCAAAAAATGACAGTTTAAAAAAAATTAAAAATTTTACAGACAACTGTAAAAAGATCATTTTTTGTGAACAAGAAATATTGTTTAGAATTTTCAAGTAATTCACCAAGCAAAGAATCCATTAATATTTAAGAATTTATTCAACTTTCAAGAGCAAGAAGGGATTTTTGGAAGCTCGATTGATCTTGAAAGAGAAAAGCCACTTTTCTGCCTTCCATTTTAAGTATGCCTTTCTTGTTTTAAACAGGGACTTCAAAAGAGGAAAGTGTTTCGAACCCAAGACTCTTCTCTGAAAGAACTGACAACTCCAACACGTTTGCTCAACTTTCTCTTTTAACTAATGACAGTAGCTTGCACATTCAAATTAAAATAATCTTCACTTAATAAATCTCAGCTACATTTTAGATTTTGCCTTTGCTACTTTTTTTTTTTTTTTTACAGTGTGCTCACCAGGTTAATTTCAAGGCATCAATCATGTCAGATTTTACAGGAAGTAATTGTTGTCAGGTCCCTTGAAAATTTAGTATGATAAAAACAAGTTCAGAATTTCAGTGACGCTAACCTCCAAGCAAACTTTTTGCCATTAAAAAACTCTTACTTTGCATATTCTGTTATTAAAAACAACACCACTGCACAATCAAAAATGCCAGAAAGGAAAAGAACAACCAAAACTAACAATTAGAAAGCTCCTTCTGCAAGAAAATAATGTCATATACTTTATCATCAAATTGCATAAATATTAGAATTATGAAATATTTTAGAAGGAGACAGCAATGGTATCTTAGAAAAAAACATCATCTGTAATTTATCAGCAATGTACAAGGTTTATTTTTGTCTCAACAGGCCATGATGTAGAACTAAGTGTTCCACTAGATGGAGCAGGACGGTAAAACCATCATGAAGGCCATTCATTCTCCTTGCTGACCTGTGAAAAAGTCAATGTCCAGCAATCAGGGATGATAAGAATTTTAGCTTTCTTCTGTGCATTCAGGGCAGAACAAAATTTGTTCCTCTTCCAACAAAGGGCAGCAGAAAACCCCCTTAACGCTGAACAATACTTACTTCTTCCCACCATAGAAGTTGACTATTAACGAACACTAACCAGAAACAAACAGATAACTAAACGCTACCAGAAACAAAACTAGGTTTTCCCCATTTCTATCAGCTTTACACTAGAAAGACAAAATTTACTGGGTAGTTGACAGAAAATGAAAATCTTGCACTATTTTTTATTTTGTAGCAACTGAACTTGCAAAAAGATCCATGCCAGATGATCAAACATTAGTCACCTAATGCAAAAGACATCACTACACATCAAACAAATTCACACTAGAAACAATGGCAGAACTTCAAAGAGACTCCTAAAGACCTGGAGCAGTGCAAGTCATAGTAAAATTATCTCCCTGGTCTCTTTTCAAACGGAGCTAATTGTTGATTTACCTTTAAGTCTACCTAAACAACAAAAAAAAAACCCCACCAAAAATGAACCTTACAAATTTTATTTCATCAAATGTTCTTTAAGAGATGCAGTAGTAGAAAAACTGCAGTTGTCCATCAACACATGAATTGAAAAACTTGCATTTCCTTGATCACTAAACCTTATTTCAGCTTCTCCAAAAGCAGAGAGTATAAACTAACAAAGTACAGTTTTAAGCATTAATATTCCAAATTTAAGTCCTGCAGTTCTTGAGTATACACAACAAAAATACCAAGAATGGTCACAATTATCACAAACGTCTTGCCATAAGAAATTCTGAACCATACTATATTGCTATATATGATAAATAACTGCAAAGATGCAGCAGTCTCTCATGACAATATTAATTATCACAGTGGTATAAATAGCAGAAGAGAATGAATCACTCTCAGATATGTGCATGAAGGCACGCTAGCAGAAGTCTTGGTGACTGACCACAGGCTGCCGCCCATGATTGTTGCTGTATTCTCTTCGTTTTCAGATAAATAAACTGCACTAAACCCAAAAGCTACAGACATGGGCATATTTCACACCCATGCACTTTCCAACTTACTAAAACTTGCTTCAGTGTCCAAAGCTGTCATTTGAAGAGAACTGGTCTAAGTGGAAGAAGCAGGAAATTTGGTCTTTGAGACAAAACAATTGTCCATTGCATTATGGTGTCAGCCTGCATTAAGACCATTTGAAAGCATATGCAAGGTTGATATTGTCTGACTGAATGCCAGTTCTTCCTACGTCTCTGAAAGGCTGATTACCACGAATTCGCTATGTGGCATACACTCCTTTTCCAAGATAAGGAAAAGTAAGCATCAGGACCATCCAAATCACTGTCATTAACATTCAACAAAAAATTTGTATATCGCAGTCAATATACAGTAGAATAGAACAGAAACAATACTCACTACTGTGCACAATCAATCAGCTGATATTCATTAGATCTCTCATAGCAGGCTTTCACACCTTCGTCTTGCCAAAGTGTTTTTGTATGTTCATAAAACTCCTGAAAAAGTAAAAATAATATTAGCAAAATGGTTTATATATTAAGAGAATCAGCAAACAGTAACATAACATTACCACTGTAATGAACAGTAAATGGTAGCATATTTAACAAAAGACTTTAAACATTTTTCAGAACCTGACTACAAGTTCAGTTGGCTTTCTTAGTTGTTTTGACTTTAACATTTTGTAACACAAAGAGCTGCTTCTCAATCACTTTGAGTCCAACTATACACTGAAAGAAGGGTTAACTTTCCATTAATGACAAATCTGTTGGCATTTTAAATACCAAATAGTATTGACTATTGAAGTCATGATTCCACTGCATGTTATATTTATTTGGCTGTCAAGATTTTTTTTTTCCTTTCTTCAGTGAAACACCACTACTCAGTAATTCTTCCATAAAGGTTGCAAATGATTAGGTTTTACTTGACTTTCCAAGTTAGTGAGGATCTTTGGGGACTATAGAGATATCTGTATCTTACTTAACTGTGTATTACTTGAAGTATGTCCAGAATTTATTATTTTACAGTGTAAAAGGATATTGAACCACAGAAGAAATACAGTGATACAAAGCTAGGTCGTGTTTTGATTGTGTCAACCTTGGAAATTATAAGCCAAGATACGAAAGCAGACAGCCAAAAATGCAATGCTTCAGTTTTGCTGAACCAGCAACGCAATACAAAACACAATCAGAAGCCCATTCCTTTCTGCACACAGAAGATGCACTTTGGCTCCAACAGAGGCGTGTGCAATATATAATTGTATTTCTGGCTATCAATCTAGGAACTTGGAATTGAATTAGAAAGAACAGCAGCAGCCTAGTGACTTAACTACATGCACCACTGGGCATTACTGTTACCAACAACTGTGGACCTTTCTTGGCTATCTCTCAGAGCTTTTAAAGTGGTTTGGACTAAACACTTTTATTCCTATTTTAAGTGGCTCAGGCAACTTATTCCAAATCAGCTTTTTGCATCGAGGACAGAACATGACCTTTAAAATAGCTGGTGTATATATTCTTTTTCTCCTCCCACCCCCTCTCTTTACAGGAGAAATATTTTGAAGAAAAATAATGTATTATTTTAAATATAACCATTTCACTGCTTCAAGGTTCCTCGATTAACTTAGCTTTGGATATCTTGGGATATCAGTCTCTCGCATTCTTTTACTATCAGTGCAGTACAAAGAAAGGGGCCACATCCAAATGGGACTTCCAAGGCTTCACTTGAAAATATCGTTTTTTAACAAAAATAAATTGAAAAATTAAAAAAAACACAATCACTTTTCTACCAGACTGTTAACTAACACCTGAACTATGCCAGAACAGTAGATGCTTTAAATGGCATCTTAAAGATGCATAGTAGCATCTTAAATTTAGTGATGCAGATTTTCAAGCCATCCTCTTTTTGGCAGGTATAAGATGCAAATGTGATTGTGTGATCATACAATTGTGAATACCAATGATGGAAACAGCCTATCAAATGTAAATTTGATTTCGCTTTCATTGCTACTGAATATTCACTAGCTGCACATACACACAAATGATAGTGAATGCACACCACACATCTAAAAAACTCTGATATCTTTTTCTTCTAATTTCTTTTAAAGAGATTATAAAGTTTATACATAGTATTAGAAGTATCTTTTCAGTTTGTTCCCTGCTTTTATGAACTGTTCATGAACAAAAAGACCAGTTAAATTTCTTTAATAAGCGGATAAGAAGATTTTACTTGATTTTTAGTATTTGTACAACCGTTAGTTGTACCATAACCATAGAATTAGTAATTGTACAACCATTTACTGTTAGAGGAAGTAAAAGATGGATCAAAATCTCAATTTCAGTCCTCGGTTTTCTTTCTCCTGCTGCTGGAATTATGTTCATTGCATGCTTTCATTTTGAAGGATTCCAATTTTCTGGCAGTTGGGGGACTGTCAATTACCTTCAGTCTTCAACTATATCACAGCACAGTGAGGAAAATATCTTTCCAAAGCAAAAAGGAATAGGAAGAGAATGTAAAGGAGAGAGAATTATCTGGAATCTCACTGCATTTGAACCAAACTCATTTTGACGTGGCTTTATATATTTATTTTTTAAAGTAGCAGTAGTCTAATACAGAACATCTTATGACTCACTCAACTTATTACTACAAAGCTGGTAAATTGAAAAATTGAATTGCCAATTGTAAGAGTTTTTTTGCTGAAACAGCAGCCGATTCGAATGGATGCACGCCATTTAAATTTCCCATCTAATCAAGATAACTCTCTGAAGTCTGGTGTAAGTTAATTGAACTATTTGGCAGAGATATAGTTCTGAAACAGACATCTCCTGCAAACTGGGGTCAGCATCTGCCAAGCCCATTATCTCCAAATTTACCCCAAAATACTCACTTCATTCTGCATTACAGTAAGTAAACAAGTAACTAGGTGGAGATAAGTTTACAGAAAATGCAATAAAACATAAAGATTCTTCATCACCTACGAATGTACATTTAAAGTGAAAAGAGGCAGTGCCTTAATGAAAAAAAAAGTCACAGCACAGTAAAACGCTGCCGCAAAAATGAGACACAAAAGTCCTTCCTCACTACTGTTTCTCCCTACAACTATGACATTCTGGTAGGGAATGGATATAAAGCAATTATTTCAAACAATTTATGAACTCCATCATACCTTGCGGAGAAACATTTGGAGTAGTTTCTGCAATCAGACTCTTAAAATGGGATGAAAAGTAAATCCAGTTCCTGGCCCTAGCATAAACACATTGGTAATAAAAAGCCTAGGATTTAGTTTAACAGAGCGGTTACATAGTGTTCAGAAGAGTCCTCCCTGTGTTTTAAGGGCAGTTCTTAAGTTCTAAAAAAATATGTGGATTACAATAATGGGATAACGATCAATGTTTGTGTCTTGTTAGGCCAAATTAGCAACAAAATACTTAATACTGCCTTTAAGTCTGTCCTGCTAATCTGAACTCTAACCAGCAATACTTATGCAATCTTTTCAATATGGTTATTAACTGTCCATGTGGGATGGAGAAAGAATTTAAGTCCACATTCTTTGAACTTTTTATTGGCATTTCAAAATCAGGATCTACAACAAGTAATGAGTAATAGATTATAATACTAAGACACAGTGGGTTTTTTTTGTGGTGGGTTCTTTGTGCTTCTTTTGGTCTTTGTTGTTTGTTTTCATTTTGCTTTTAAAACTGAACTACATGACTTGTGACAGCCAAATGTGAAGGCCTTTTATTAATAAACAACCTTTTATCTTTAGGTCTTATTAAATATATCTTCACACATTTTGGGACTAGTGCTAACCCAGCTCAAACCACTGTAAACTAGGGAAGTTCACCAAAGAAAAGTTGGAACCAGTCTTACGGAGTTCCATTCTTGCTTTATTAGAAGCTTACTTACACTAGTGACTGATTTTGGAATTAAGACATAGTAGCTAGTTGCAAAAAACCCAGATTCTCCCTCCTCCCCAATACACCTACACTAACCACAATTCTGAAATAATATTTAAGAAAAAGAATAACATAAGAAATCCTCAACATCCCATTTGAGTCATGGAATGTAGCCTGGGGCTACACTCAGGGAAGGCAAGTAAAACCACAAGATTTGTTATGTATTTAGTTAAAACAGGGGCTTCAGAGGTCACTAGAAAAATCAAGTTAGCAACAGGGGGTTCTTTTTTTCGAGTTAAATAGGTCTAATTTGTATGAGATCTCTAAAAATAATGAGTTAGGAAACAAATTAACCAAAAGTAGCAGGCAAATTTCCTGAAAAGAAATAGCCAGAAAACTAGTCCTTACATGTCTGGTTCTTGTTTCCATAACACTGATTCATTTGCTGGCACATTCTAATATAACAGACTCTGCAGCAGCATCAACACAGGTTTCTCTTGCACTACAAAATGGAACTCCTAACAAAACAGCTAAAATAAACAAATACTACTAAATAACAATTTGGTTTGGGATGACATTCCACAATAAACAGGATTTAAAGATTAGGTTCCAAACGATCCATAGTATTTAAAAGTATGGTCACATTATCCATGCTTACCCTATGCATACTTAAAAACTGAAAAAAATATTCAAGTTATGTCATTTTCCACTAAAAAAACCCCACTGCAGTTACACAATACACACCCAAGATCCTGTTTAAACTATAGCTGAAGCTGTGTAAAGCAACAAAAGTCAACATAAGCGATGACAGCATGGCATCGCCAAGGAAGGCAAGAAGTGAATTCTTCCTAAGAATTATGTCAAGATTGTAGCATTTATTTACCACCAAACCAGACTTTACACTTTTCAAAGTGCTAACATAACCCTAAAGAGGGAGAAATCCTTGTGTAGAACACTGAGGGACAACAATGCCAACATAACACAAATCCGAACAGAACAAACAGGGCTTGACTTTGAATGTGTTTGGGCTGGGCAGGGGCATAGTTTGAATTCCGGGCACAATCCCTAACAGGCTACGCTTCTGTGAAACTATTAAAAAAAACACCTAGAAGAAAATCCACTGCCTGGGTAAATGTCCTCTGGTCTTACTTAGATAACTGAAGTATCAAGGACATGACTTGCTGATGGCGAGGAAGCCTCATCTCTCATCATACCACACCGCCACAATACTTAGAAAGTCGTATTTATGTGAAAAGAAATGTATTTCAGTATTAATGTTTTATTTATTAGACAACACTTTCATCACCTGCTGAAAGTTTCCCAATACAAATGTTGCCTATTGACTCATTGTAAGTTGCTTGGATTCACTTGCAGGAATCTATGCAGACCCTCAGAGAAAAAAACGCATCAGCAGAAATCATCTTGTAAAAGGGATGCTTGGAAAACAGTACTTTGCTCCAGAAAGATCGTGCTTACACAATTCTGGATTAGAAAATGGGCAATGCAATAATGGAGTTAAAAACCTACTTGTATTAGAAAATTTCAGCAAGTTGAATACACGGTAGCAGATAAACAGGGGTTTTATTAAAAGTCAAACCAGAGAA